AGACTCACTATTTGTACACCATTGATCAAGAAAAGAAATAACTATCTGGAAACAGTAACTGAACAATAATTGTCATTATGATTATACTCCAAATGATTATCAGGTTTATAATGTGAGAGTCAACATGGTCAAGTTATGAGAGATGAGATGACCAAGACTCCATTTGATATTGATTTGAGTGTTTTTGTTGCTATGAGTGACTCCATGCATGCTGTAATAGATTATGTTGCACTCCAAAATAATGTTATATACAAATGACAAAATGTCATACATTCAGCTCAAAACAGATAATAATAAATATTGTTAATATTAATTGTATGTTAAAGACATAAAAGAGATAGTTCATTGTTATAGTTAGTCTCTTGTTCAGCTACAAACAAATATTCTTCTTGTAATGGTAGACTCACAGAAGATGCTGCAGTCATCATAATTGCTGGAGGAGTAGAAGATCTATTACTACGAAATACAAGTAGTGAATTGGTTGGATCTACTGCTTGAGTTGGCCTCTCCATCATGTACTATGTAGACTGGAGCTTACTGCACTGACCACTGCAGTAGTGTACAGTGTTTTATAGCATAAAAGTAAACAGGAAATTAATTAGGCAGGGCTTGGCCAGCATTCCAAACTAAAGGGAAATGTCAACCAAACCAGAGAATCTGAAAAGAGCCTTTGACAGAGAACTTAGTGAGTAGATATTCATAATAATTGTTTTATTAGTATTATTAATGATAGATATTAGTGATTTTAGACTGGTATGGGAAAAAGCTGGTGTTCTTTCAGGACGCTGGGACTCTATTGGTATTCTGTTAGGAATCAGCTACAACAAGTTATATGAGATTGAAGCAGGGGGCAAACCACCAAGAACTTGTCTACAGAAAGTATTTGATTGCTGGTTAAAGAAGGACTATGACTATAAGAGTCATGGTGTCCCTACATTAAGAATGCTGTGTAACTCCATTAAAAGTAATAGTGGAGGAGCTGATCCAGCTCTAGCTGATGAAATAGCAAAAGAATATACCATTAATCTTACTCGTAGTAGAGAGGCTACTACGTCGCCAGTTCATACTTCATCTTCTAAAGGTACTGTAAATAAAATACAATAATCAATGATCATATATATATATATATATTTTGACTTATTATTATTTTAGAAGCTACTCCAACTGTTGAGCTACCAGTTCCTACTTCACCTCAATCTGAGTCTTCAGTTGTTTACATTAAGAAAAAATCAATTGAATATTCTCCTGAAAATCTGACACGAATGATTGGAGATCTACGAGAAGTTTACCTTGATAATATGTATCATACAGAGAAGTTTTTTCGTTCTATTGATGTCTCAGAAGTTGTTGATTTTATTCAACATTACATCTCACTTTTACTCAGTCCACGTTTTGATAAACAAGAAATGATTGAATCAATTGAAAATGAGTTTGACCATGTTGAAACAATAAAGCAGCTTTTTAAAGCATTAAGAAAATATGTCTCCTGGTTCAATTTTGAACTTGTTGTCAAGTTAGTCAATACTTTCATTACTGATGAGAGAGATTTACAGAGAAAGTGGTCTACATATCGTGAGAAATTAAAAGATTATTTTAAAAATAACAATACTCAAGCAGTTCAAATTGCAGACTCAATTGAGTTTAGTCTTTCTGATGTTCCAGGCACTAAAGTAATGATTGCTAAGGTTGCCAGAGACGACTACACATTAAATGATCTATATTTCTTTCACAAGCTAATCGCTGATGCACTTGAAGTTCCTCAATATAATTTTTATTTTTGTACGATTCAAAATGGCTGCATGGAATTAAAATATTTCATTCCTGATTTTCTTCATTCTGTTCTCTTTCCATTAACCGATCAACAGTGTCATTCATTGGCTGAGATTGGAATCATAAAATTAACTTGTCATGAATATGAACGTGAAATGAAGCAGGTATGTTACTTAATAATAAATTAAAATAATTATACTTTTATAATTATAGTTGCCAGAAAGTACATTAAAGAAGCTTCATGATTTTCCTATTGGTAATTATTATTATCATTACCTTTATTCA